TTTTAACAAAAGGATAATACGTACAAAAATACAACATAAATTTCTGTGTTGAAATAGAACACAAAACGTTTTTGTAGGAGTTATCATATACGTTCATGTTATAGTTATTGATTCCTGTAATAGTATGTGAAGATAAAAGTAACAAAAAATGGCTAAGTGGGCAAGTTAATATAAATATAAAAAAAAATTAGATAATTTAATTGTATTAAACAATATTTTTATACATGTATAATATCAGGGTCGGCTCCAGTTGGGAGCTAGGGGCCGCGGTCCCCTCTCAAGCCCGTATCGTATTTATAAAAAAATGTATATTCTTAACAAAAAATACATATTATATTATGTACTATCATACGACACGCACAATTATGTAGATAGAGCCATAGAGGTATGACGATTGAAAGGAGTTTCTTCACACTTCGGAGACTAAAATCCTGGCTTCGTTCAATGATGACTAAAGATTAGCATTATGTTTAATTAATGTACCTATTAGGCCCGTACTGGCCCATCGGGCAGATGCATGATGCGCCCATAAAAATTAACGCTGCATTAAGATTTTGGAGAGATATCCATTGTTTCTCATTAACAATTAATAATCCCATGGTCTTCAGTAATACGTCATTGAAAAACGTTTATATTTTTGTGAAGACAAGCGTTAAACCAAACAAGCGTTTAACGTTAACAACGTTAAATTATGATTTTTAATCTGTAATCTATTGGGCAATAGGTAAACTGAAGGATTAAATAACAATAATAAAGGCGCCCTTAAATATTTTTGTAACCGCCTTATAAGAGCAGCCAGTACGAGCCTGATATCTATATATCATAAAGTAGATATTCTACATCAAATAGATCATATTATTGATATTTTTGCCAATTTAAAAAATAGACGACTTGAATTTGTGTTATAAAAATTTTTGTTTTCTTTTTGTTATAAAATTTTGTAAAATTATAACTTGCTCCCCCCTAAACAAGGCTCTGGAGCAGCCCCTGCATAATACTAGCTGATTTATTCCGCCTCGCTTGGGTTAGTTTAACTAACCTAACCGAGATAACAAAAGTTTCAATAAACTCCACCGCCATCTGTTGGAAACTAATAGAACTTACACTTAATCACTACCTTCTGTTCTGTAGTAAAAATTTGCAATATTAATCGAGCAATTAACTTCCTATAGCATAAATTTGACAAAATCACACATGGATTATATTATTAAAATCCGTTAAATAGTTTCAGGGACAGTTTTGAAAGAAATTCTTTAATCATAAATTCAAATTTAATTAAATTTAAATTTAATCGTAATTTTTTTTGTTGGTTTTTTTTTGTCATCTCTCCCATCATACTCGATTTACTCTTGATGTCTTTCATAGTGCTATGTAATAAAATTGTCAATGTTTGATAATTATTATTTATCTTTATTCAAGGTTCAAAAATCGAACTGCCTCCGTTATTTGTCGTATTGAACAAGCTGTATTGTGATCTAGTTATCGTATTCAATCACTACTAACTTCCTCAGTTATTTGTGATCTCGAAATCGAAATCAGATTACTCTTTTCCAATAATAGTTATCACTTGGTTTTCAACTTTTATTAGGGCGTCATTGTAAATTGATGTCATTCTCTAATAACAATTTTGCCCCTCACATGTTTTTCGACATGACGAAAATTACTGATTATTGAGTTTTTTGAGATCTTTGAAATATATTGAACCACGCACATGATATATAATCAGATAAAAAACATGTTTTCCAATATGAAATGTTCATATTGGATTCCAACATGGACCGTATAATTTTGACATAAGTATCTCCAAATTGACACAAGGCCAATTCTGAAAACATAAGTATTCAATACCCACCTTTAAAAAAAATTTGTCGCTGCACTCATATGATATAAACTACGTTATATAAGTGTGTTGATGTACCTATGCTTAACGTGACCAAACGGGAGGGATACAGTCCCACCTTTAATCTTCCTGTCCCGCTCTAAAAACAAGGTGACCTATAGAATTTTATTCCTCTAAAAATTAGCACATATTTATTCATCACGACTAACAGCAATCATGCTTTACTATACTGGAAAGAGTTCTGAAAATGTTTCAGACATTAAAAGAATATTTTCTGATTATTGATAAATGCCCGAACATATTAAAAAAAAATTATTTGAAAATCCCAGTCCTGAAGAATGGTTGTTTTATGTATGCACTATCGGCTACTTTTCACCAAGCGGTGTTTTAAATCTAGGGCCAAAAAGTGTCAGCATTAGAGGCCGCAAATGAAATTAATCAACTTAAAAACAACTGAAATCAAAGACAAAATTCATCCTCCTATCTTCCCCCACGCCAATCGTAATGGCGAAACTGGTAGTGTCAATGAAGAAAACGTGAAAGCTGCAGCGGCTGATTTTTTGTGGGACAGGTAAATAATATATGAAATAGCGGTGTCTCATTTCAACATGGAAATAAAAATATTTGAATGGGGAAATCCGAGAGAGAGGTCCTCTCACGGGAGAAAGTTCGAAGGGTGATGGACTGGCTTATAGAACAAACATTTTATGAGTAACAATCAAGTGCACCGGTGTTAGATGAATTTTCACTAATCTCTTATTATATAACAGCTACAAAAAAATAACTCACTTGAACACCGGGAATATAGCTACTGAAAAACGTTAAATGGAAGTAATATTCACTTCCATCCGTTGCTAATAATCGTTTACACGAGCATTTTTATATAATTGTAGAGTACATTTTATGTCAGCTGGGCAAAACACTCCATTCGAAAAAGAATGTTTTCGCGTATGAATAAAATATTATGGAGTAACGAAGAAGCTATATTTAGCTTTATTTATATTAAAAGCCATTCTTATAACCAAAAATAACATAAACAAGTCGTGTCAACAGTTCCATTTCACACAAAAAAACCATTCCGGATATTCTGAAGCAGATTGCGGATACGAAAAATAAAACCAGCCGAATAATTGACATTTATCTGTTTTTCTGTTGTCTTTTACGCAACATTATGTCCTACTTTGAGGAAAAAATATTATGGCTAAATGTTGTCTGAAAATTTACTATAAGTATCGATGTACTTACCCCCCCTTCCACTTTCTTAGATTTGCGCCTATGGGTTAAAATCATATCAAATTATAATTATCAACTAAAACATTCTTAATTAAAGCCAAAAGATGATATGTATTTTAATATCAACAATATATAAGAACTACCAACATCGTTTTCAAAATTAAACTAATTATTCAAATTCCAAAAACAAGTATTTATAAAGTGACACAAATACAGATTATACTTTTCTTGATCAATATTTCCGTATGACCAAAAAAAAAACCATTTTCATAAACAATTGTGAGAAATAATAATATAAGATATATAGTTTTAACTAAAATAAATGTGAACTAATATACGAATAAAACATATTTATATGGATAATTGAATAATTTTTCAAATCAACAGATTATCATTACTTAGTAATTACTATTATATAGTTAAAATTAATTCTTAATAATTTTAAATATAATTAATAATAACGTTTTGTAATTGTCAAGGTTTGTTAAATTATTCAAAAATAAGTAATTACATTGTTACCAAAATACAGTTTAATACTTAAATTCAATAATTATTTTATTGTTTAGCTTTAATTATCTAATGATCAATAGTTATTTAAAAAATTATACAATTTGTTAAGAAATTTTCCATTTCTTAGACATTCAAATAACATTTTTTAATTAATATAGATAATTAAATAAGAAAAACTACAATTTAAAAATTGCCTTTTTTGGGTAGTAAAATGAAAACATATAAAATTATGAAAAACTATTTGCTATGAGTTTGGTATTAACACATAATTTTTTAATATATAATTAATTTTATAACAAATATGTAATTTATATCTAGTTTTAGTAATTAAGAAAAATATGCACTGTTTCAAGCTTATAAATAATAACCAACACCAAAAATGATTATAGCCTACACCACATTTTCTGTACGATTGTAATTTTTTAATATGACCACTTTTTTTTATTTATCCATTTAATTATTAAAATTATTATCGATATTCACCCAATTTCATAATTTTTTACTATTATTTACTAGATTCATGTATCAGATTATTACTAACATCATATAATGATAAGTAATAAATTATGCTTATATTACAAAATATAAATTTAGATAAACCAGTAAAGTATTCAAAGACATTTATGTATGAGTTGTATTAAAGTAAAAATATTTAAATTTATGAGAATATTGGCCTTAAATTAAAATTATTATCAGTTTGAACAAGAACATGAAATTGTATTTTGAATTTTAATTGTAATTTAATAAGTATTCACTAAATATAAATTAAACTGGTATTCATATATCAAACATAGCGTACCAAACAACTAAATATCATGTACTTTGTTTTGTTTTTAACCATGAAAAAATTAAATTAAAATATTAATCTATTGCGGTAAGCTTCTATCTTTATTTTCACCTATCATACTGACAGAATTGATGACAATCTTATATTCACTGAGACATTGTTTCCACTAATATTATCATTTAGAACACACCAGAGTTGAAAAAATATTAAACAATGTTTTTAGGTTACAAGTATTGTTATTTAAAGATAACGCTGAGATGTCAACTCGGAGTTGCCAGGTTTTATTGAATAAAAAACAAGACCAATACAATAACAAATCCTTTACATACAATAAATGTTTGATTTATATATAGAAAACAGACCCATTGACAAAAAGTCAATATGGAACAAAAATAAAAAATGATTTGTTTTAGAGAAAACAATTTTGTTAATACAGTAGATGATTCTTAACAGAATATTTCCTTTTAATTAATGAGTTTCACTTTTAATCATAACATAAATTTAAGAAATTTAATTGCCATTGATGTGGGGTGAATACAATTTGAAAAAATAAAACTTTTGAAAGAAGAATATTAAACAAGAATATTATTTGAAGAGATTTTATTATATTGTGTTTTCCAGAACTTTATATATCCCTTTTTTTTTTTTTTTTGGCTGCGATTTTGAAGTTTGATAATTATACTAAGTATACAAACAGGAACTAGTTACGCTTGCGGCATTCACGACTCAGATGTCCCAGCTCACCACAATTGTAACAGCTTTGTTTATTACCCTCAGGACAATCACGAGCCATATGTCCAGAACCATTACAATTACGACAGAGAGCCGAAAAGTTTCCATTATCATTTCTAAAACAAAAAAAATTTACAATATAGTCTTCTTTTAATACAAGATACTATAATACATAAAAATTATGAAATATTAATTAGAAAAATCTCATATTAATAATATTGTGATGGTACAATGGTAATTAAGGCCCTAAAAAAAAAATACATTAACATATTATAAATTATTTATATTTAATATTTTTTTGAATATTTTTAAAGAACCAAAATAATATGAGAAAAAACTTTCCATAATAATAAATTAGATCAGAACCATGATATAAAATGGTATTAATGGGTTTTTATTAATAGTGTATTTGTTAAACTAATAGTGGCTATTGACAAAATCTATAATAACTGTACTTTTCCAAGTCTGAAAGCTAAAGGTATTGGTTTACTTTACAAACTTCAATATTTTGAATTTCTTTTAGGCTAATATTTTATGGAACCAATTTTGAAAATAATTTTAAAAGTAAGTTCAGGAGTTCAGTTTCGTAAATTTGATATATTAACAGCTATTAATTATATTCAGGCACTTAAAAGTTCATTAACATTCATAAGAAATTATATATTTTTAATACTGCTAAACGTATTGACCTAGATAAGTGTTCTTGCGGTTAAAAGAAAGAAAGCGAGTGAGATTAAATGAAAATTATTCTTATTATTTTTTTATGATTCCCCCAGTATGAATAATTCAAGTGTTTTGTATTTAATCTGTTGATAGATAATCTTATCAATGGTTTAAGTATGAGATTCAACTAAGACAACTTAGATTTAATTAGTGCTGAAGGAAATTTATTGAAGTTAGAATTAAAAAACAGTTTTTCAAATATTTCATCTAAATTATTCTATATACCAATTAATGAACTGGAAACTGAAATTAAAATTCTACAACATATGCCTAATGTACCAAGTGGTAAATCCAGTGAATCTGTATGGTTAGACTGGTTAAAAGAAAGTGGAGAGTTAAGACATTTTTAATAATATGTATTTAGTATTAAAAATGTTTACCATTATACCAGGGACAAGTTGTACATGCAAAGGTTAAGCATAGTAGAAAATAAACTCAGATGTACTATGAGCCAAGATAGACAGAATCATTAATATTAATACCACAGAATTATTACTTCACAGAACAAGAATTAGCTTGTAAATTAGATTTTAATGAAATTATTGACGAATTCAAGAATATTAATGCTTTTAAACGCTAATTACCATTATAATCATCATTATTCTTATTATCAATATAAGAGATTGTACATTAATATATTGTATAATATTTATTACAACAAATAAAATAAAAATAAATTTTTTATATTGCATTTTACATAAACATTTTTAAAATTAGTGTGAGCCCAATTCTTTAGTGTGCACCCCAGAACCAATAGTATGCGCACATCTATAAATATATGATATATTTAATTAAACTCAAGTAACTATGGAACAATGATCTAAATTCATTTTTCAGTAAAATATAAATCAAATATTAATTTTAGAGAATAGTGGTATCTATATCAAATGCTTTTTGAGATATTAAGTGTATAATTTCATTATCAAACTAAAGTGAATTGCGAATTCACAATACTAATAAAAAATATAAAATGTATAGTTTTTAAGTGTAAACTTTACACATGCTGCATTGAGTATTATACCTGCAGAGCCAATTAATAGCTGCATGGTTGGCACTAATGTGTGATTATCTAATTACGCATAAAAAGATTTGTTGTTAAGAGTTTTAAGTTTAAGAAAATCAATTTTATTATAATTATTGAGAATAATTTTATTTTAGTAGCTTAAAACCTTATTTATATAATTATCATTACACTTATTTAAACTCTAAATATTCTTACTAATGATTCCTATCAGTATTATGATTTGTATATTTAAACACTTAACACGTTCGCTGCGGGATGACACATTTGTACCTTTATTTTCAACTATTTTTAATTTTGTCAGCGTTACGTTTTAATCTTTTTTTTCGTCAGTTCAGTACATATTCTATATATGTGTGTGTGCACTCCGTATCTTAAATTTTCAAATTTTTAGGTCTACGATAAGATTTGAACAGGGAATACTTTTATATTATTATTTCATAATATTTTAGCATTACTTTATCAGATGTTAGCATTTGGTCGACTAAATAATTAATCTATTATAACTTCGTGATTCGACTGTAAAATACATATAACTATCCATTATTTGACGATTTAATTGACGTATTTTATCCTTAATTTTATACAAAATAAGCAATAAATTGAATGAATCTGGTCCATCTCGACCAAGAAGCATTTGTACAAATCGAGGATATGAAAGCAGGGTTGAAAAGATGATTTTCAAGTCCAAAAGTAACGACGCCCAATGGCGTCAAATAGCATATGGCTAAAAAATTATTCAGTGACGCTGATGACACCAATAGGCGTTATAAAAAAAAACATGTAAATTTGACCAGAACCAGGGAATGGGTATACAAAAATCAAACCACAGCGAATGTGTTAATATAAAATATTAACAGATTAATAATAATTTTAATAAGTGATTATTACCTGCTCTCCATGCAGTCTCTAGAAAAGTGTCCTATTTTGTTACAGTTATAACATGTAGAGCTGCTAATGCCACCACTGTTGCCACCATATCCACGTTCTGCACGTTCATCTGGACAGTCACGAGCTAAATGACCAGTTTTACGACAATTGTAACATGACGGTTCACTAGCAGATTGAGAGCAGTCACGAGCTATATGACCAACACCATCACATCTAAAATTTAAAATTAAAGATCAAACATCATACCAAATAAATTGAATTAATATTAGCTTTTCAAAACACAAATATCTAATTTTTATATTCATATGCAGTTACATAATAAACACAATTTAAAAACAAGAACTATATTCAAATATTATATTTCTATATTCATAGTTAAAATTAATTTACATTGGAACTATTTTTTAATAACTATTGGTTATACCATAATTCAGAAAATAAGAATAGTAAATTTTCACATATAACTTCTAAGTTATAAATATATTAATGAAAATTAAAATCACTTTAATTTTTTTCTATAAGCAATGTAATGCTGTAAATTATAATAAAATGAATTCAGCTTAATATACAATAATTTTAAATTATATACCATCCATAAAATGTATAGACAATTATTTCAGTAGCCTAATTAACTTTCTGTTGGCAAATGTATGTCGGAACAAATGTTATTGACCAATAATTCAACAAAAAACTTCCATCAATTACTTGGTAAATTATTATAACTACTTCTAGATATTACAATATGTTGTATTTATAACAAATGAGTAACATATAAATATTTATCTAAATAATAATGTGATCAAAACTCACTGAATAAAAAATAATATCTTAACATGTATGTTATATCTTTGTTACTTCAATTTAAAAGTACTTTTTGTAATGGAAAACTGAATAGTTAAACTTTAGAATATATTGATTAAATATGTTTGACAAGTATTCAAATTACTATCATAAATATGTACACAAAGAAAAAATTTATCTTTTTAAAATTATTCCAGACTAATTCTTTATATTACAATAAACTCTACTATAACTATTATAACAGAATAAAATAAATACAAAAAGACTGAATTAAAAATAATTATTCAATATAATTTATTATAAATAAAACAATAAATTAAAATTATTTAACATAAGATTGTTAATCATGGGAGAAAAAGATTAAACCATTACATTAATATTATTTTAATCATATTCATAATATGAAATTGAAACTTGAGATAAAAAACTGAAATATATTTGTTAGAAAATAGTTTAACAAGAAAATATTTTAGTAATTAATAGTAATCACATGATAATTAATACATAATATTAAAATAAACCATTTTAGAAAATTGAGAATATACAAAGTTATGTTAGTTCGCAAGTTATTTAAATATGCATTTAATTACGTACATTATTTAATAATAAATTATTATATATAAAAATTTGTTACTAACAGGCCCGGTTCAAGTGTTTAAACAAACATAGGCAAAATTTAGTTTTTGTTGCCCCTTACGTATAAATATTTTATCAAATACTTTTTTTTATACATAAAAATTGCCCAGGAAAATGCCACCTTATGTCACCTACCCCTTGAGCCGGGCCTGGTCACTAACAAAATAATTATTATTAGGAACAAACAAGTGAATTTCACAATAAAAATTAATTAATTAAATGAGATGGAATTCCGTGGATCATGAACACAAATAATTCTAGAACAAATGAATTAAATAATAAATAAAAATACAATTATTTTGCCTTATCACTAAGCTGAACTTATTTAAATGAATAAAACATATTCAAATGTAAACAATATCAACAGGTATGGCAAGTAGCAATCAATAACACATGAAATAATTAATATATTTTTTTATACATGTTGCAACACTTTGAACAATGAGTTCAACAAATAAATTATAAATAGCAATAAAAATTAAACTAAACATTCATCAGAGAATATATTGATTAATATACCACTTTTAACACCTGGTTGAGTTACACACCCACTTAACAAATTTAAATTACATAACCTCAATTGTGGAAACAAAAACTGTAACAGATGGAATTATTTTATATAATTAATTCCAATGACTTGTGTAATCAAATAAACTGAAGAACTTAAATCAACTAATATGACATTTTTTTTATATAATTAGGTAGGTATAAACAAAAAAAACATCTTGAAACCAAATATCATAGAACAGATTGAATATTTGTAATAAAGTTAACAACCTATAAAATTTAAATCAACATTAATAAGCATAGGTAATATTAATACTAAAATATATTACTTTTACATTAGTTACAATAGTATTTTATGGAAGTTCATTTTATTATACTGCATAACTACATGAATGGGGAAAAGTTAGATAACCAAATAAGTCCAATTTTAACAGATTCAAAACTAATAGGAACATACATTTATATATTTATATATATAAATTACCTGTAACACCTATCCTTGTCCTTGCAGTCTCGGGCAATATGTCCACTGCGATTACACTTGTAACAATTGGTTTCACGATCACTACCGTTACCACCACCTCCTCTGCCACCTCGACTGAAAGTCGCACTGTTTATAGAGCCAGCTTCACGGCAATCCCTGGCAAAATGACCAGAGCGATTGCACCGGTAACACATGACTCCACCACTCATGACTAACAAAAAAAAAAAAAACGTATGAATATTTAAATGTACATATTAATAGACGAAAAAAAAGTTAAAAACGAAATAAGGTTGAAAAAGAATATAAAAAATGATTCAATATGTGCTAGTTATACAATTTTCAACGTGTCGCTTGTGTCGAACAAACGATTGTGACCGAGAAAAAAGTAATTGTTAGCCATGTGGCAACAAAAACGGAACTTGCGTCTGGTGTTGCCTGTCACCAAAACAGCCATTTTCGGTGGACGAAAAATTTCAACATCGTGGAATAGGTCGCCTGTGACCCGTTGAACAGGACGAAAACGACCTGGGAACGAAACGCGAACGACCGCAACTTAATAATTACCTGGTTAGGATGATGTTCTGGACGAAATAGTGTAAAAATAAAACGTAAAAACCGAATTGTAAAAAAACGTGAAGAGAACGCTGGCTGACACCGGGTTGAAAAGAAAGAACGAGTATTTCGTCAACGAACAAGTATCACGAGAAAAGAAAAAGGAGAAGGAAACGTGATTTTCAGGGCAGCCAGTGTGACCGGTTGCGGGGACAGCACGCGCACACCAAAGAAAATAGACTGTGCGCGCCGCAGGAGCCGGCCGGTTCGAATGACGTCTGATAAGTTATCCGGGTGGCGACAATGTGGTACACACGAAAAGCGCGAAATTATCGTGTGGCCGACGCGCCAAACGGCTTTTGCGCGGGGCTCAATTTCGTGTTTCCTGTGCACCAAGACGCGCTTTTGTGCACGGCAAACAGTCGGATGCCAAGTTCTAAAGTGTGCGAAAACGTCTAAACCGAAGGAGTCTCGTAAACGAATACCATAGAATTGGTTTGCACTAAAACGCTGAGCGCGAGCATGTTCACATGGTTTCTGCAGTACGTTTAAATCGATTTTCTAAAACTATAGACACTCTTCTCGAACTGCGGGTTACGTCACAACTCTACATGCGTTTATTGGTAACGTTAATACGAAAAATTGCAAATTCCATACCCTGTTCGAGTGTTTTGTGCCTCCCGACGGCTAATGATCTCGTAGAAATAAATTACTTAATTGGTCGGCGTTCGACATCGTGTTATTAATTGTCACTTTGTTTTAATTACGGCCCTGATCGAAAAGGCTCGTGTACCGCACGAACGTTATTCCTCGGTTCACAACCGAGCGTGACCCCGATTTATTATTATTCATTATTATATTTTCTACATAACCTCTAAATCCGTACTCGTTTTCTAAATGTATTTATAAAAATGTGAATGGAATTGTTCTCATCATTTTATGAATAGTGATCCAAGATTTTTTTAGATGACTAATCGAAGAAGTAATAAAAACGAGTACATATGATAACTGTACATTTCTTTTTTTTTTTTTTTTTGTAAAACTGCTTTAATTATTAACTGCACCTAAAGCCTCATCTAGGACAACTAAAATTAATAAAAGACTTGACTTGTGATTTCTAAAAGAATACTTCCTGCTAATGAAGCAAGTTCTGCTCCATCAGTGTGAATATACTCACATGCCAAAATAATCGATCTATAACACTCCTCCATTGCATGATTTTTATAAAACGTGTTACGTACATTACTAATGTCCAAGGGCGCCCATAGAAAAATTCTCAAGGGGGGGGGACAACATTTAAATTTATCAATCTATTCATAAATAGGAATGATTCACGATATAGGAAGAGGTTTACAATTTTTTATTATACTATTACATTATATATATATCAAACTGGAAGACTATAAAATAATAAGTATTTAACCAATTTACCATAAAAGTAATTAACTGACATTTTTATTTAATTAATATTATAAATTGGTCACTTAAAACATTAGTTATATTTATTAAAATATTAATTTACAAATATTATATAAATATTATGATTGTGTACACACACACATATACATACCGTATTTCTGGAAATACAAAATATTTTAAGAATTTATAATTATCCATATAATAGAAACGAAAAAGCGTGTTGTTATTTAAAGCTGACAACCTTATTTTTCAAACTAAATAAATATTTTCTGATTATATTAAACAATTATCCAAGATTTTTTACATTTTCTGGGGGTAGACATGTCCCTCCTTTCCCCCCATTTAGGTGCCCTTGCTAATGTCATACATTTTTCGAGGGGGAGGGTTTAATTTTATTCTCCGTGGATAATACCCTTTTTCCTCAGTCACCCCCTGAAATAAACACTGATGATGACCGCTATACATTACCCTAATGTCTATATTTCCATCTCTTTTCGTATCTAGGTCCGCTCTCTTTACATAGTTAGGTACTATTTCAGCAAAATATTTATATTATTACTATTCTTCGAATATCACGTACAAATAATGTACAATATACAAACACATCTATTGTCGATGCTTAATGGCATTTTAATGGCTTTAACTATTATATTGTTTCATATACTTTGTTTAACAATGCATTTCACTCACCATGCTGTGATGAATAAACCTATGAACTACCGATGAGTCATATTCAGTAAATCTGATTGAAAATTCAATTGTTCAATATTAGGTAAATGGGCCAAAAAAAAAAATTGTACAAGAATACTTGAAATATATAATTCATTTACGAATAGAAACAATCGGTTTATAGAGAAATAATTATATTATGACTATGTCCTTTTAAAAATGTAATATAATTGTAGGTATTTATTCGCCTCAAATACAGAATGATCTGATAAGTGGCGCAATCCAGGGGGGGGATACCGAGTCCCGACCACCCCTTAAACTGTTTTGTATTTTTCTAAAAAAAATAAAAATGTTTGACAAGATTGAATAATTGATTCAAAGATTGATTTAAAAAATTCCACATCAGAAAGAAGACTCAATGGAATGAGCTGCTCCCAATGTCCACTACGAAGTCAGTGTAACACCTGAGGAAGTAATACAACATTTAAGCTATAGAAAACATTCCTTAGATTTTAATTCATAAACTTGTACCTACCTTTTACTTTTATTTTATACATAATACATTTAATTATCATTCAATTTTACATTATAATTACAATAGTTACATTAATTAAATAATAAAATATAATTACATTTGCTAACTACTTTAAAATAATTATATTTTTGGACCCTCCCCCCCCTTAAAAAATCCAGATTGCTTCACTGAATCTTATATCAATCAAACTACATAAAATATTATTTATATAATACACGTATGTTTCATGAGTAAAACTATAGAATAATAGGTACGCCGAAAATAGTGTAAGAATGAATAAGACAATGACCGGTTTATAATGACTAATGAATAATGGGGAATAACTACAGACTACAGAGAATGCAATGGTTTTTAGATAGAATATGTTCATATGTGTAGTCTCTATAATTTTTTTTTCACTAGTTTGGAGCAAATACTTTTAGTTAGTTAAATAAATGTTACGTACTTAAAGTGGACTGTTGGGCAATGTATAAAGCATACATTATAATACATATAGCTCAACAGCTTTAGTGTACTTATGTCGTGTATTTTAGTTTCAGTAACATTTATATTTGAATTTTGATGAATTCAAATTTTTAATGTAACCTAATAAATATATAATATTAGTTTATTACCAAGATAATATTTGTTTGTTATACGTAAACAATCTATAAATAGTAGTCTTTACATAATATTTGCGTAATGTTTCGTGTATACGTTGTTAGTGTTATTAATAAATAATATTTTAAATGTTTAATACACAATGAATAAAAAATTAAATTTAAATAGTTATCAATTCTACAAATAAACATATAAAATGTAAATAATATAAATGTAAAATCCATTGTTAAAAAGATAAATATACAATGTCCATTAAAATTAAATAATATATCAATATAGGTACAGTATATAGCTGTCCTGATATATCTATTAAGTTTATTTTGTTTGGAACGGTCAAGTAATAGATGAAGGTCAAGGATTAATGAATAATATTATTCTATTTTTAAAACACAACATAGACAAAGATAAACCTTCAAAATTGAGATATTTCACTGAAATACGTCTATGAATTATGTATCCATGTTGTATTTAAATATAGATTACTGAATAACACGTACAGAGTAACTACATTCCTTTAAAAATAATTGTATACTAAAAAAAAATTAAAAGTCAATATGTAACTTACTTCTATTCTAATATCACAACTTTAAATTACACACTGCCTACTGTTAATCATACCCAATAATAAAAGAATGTACTGTGTCGTAAATATATTTTATTAAAACATACAAAAATAAATTAAAATAAAAATGCACAGTGTACTTCCTGACGTAAATCAGTCACAACTTTTCTACACCCTACACTGCACTATTGAAATATCCAAATAAATATATATTAATACATTTTAATAATTTAGATATTTTATTTAATTAAGATTTTATCTTCTAATGCAACTAAGGTAACTTACTATAGTAATTATTATTTTTTATAACACAATATAGTGGTAACGTATTATTTAATAGGATTTAAATTGACAAAAATGAGTTGTATAACTATTTTATAAAATTTAAAGTTTTAAGATTTTCTAATATTTATTATTATAAATGTTGAAAAATTAAATTGGTATAAAAAATTTAAAATTTAAAAATAACTCTTAATTCGTTTCAACTTATATAATTAAACTAGCTTATGTGTTCAATCTCGCTTGGGTTAGTTTTTAATTATTTTTAATAATTGTTTTTATTATTTTATAGTACAAAATTTATTGTATAATTAATAACATATAACTAAACTCGCATTTAATTAAATCTAAATCAAGATGAAAGTGTCATCAGTGGGTGGCTTCTTTCCTTAAACTTAAGTATCACCCTATTTGTTTCTCTCCCTATCGCATATATACTTATTATGTCTACGAGATATAGATTGTATATTTTCTTCTAAAAATAAAAAAATAAATAAATAAAAATATAGTACAAAATCACACACACGGAATATAAGATAATCTAAGTTGGTAAAGTAGTTTCGTGTACAGTTTTTATTAATTATGTTCTTGTAATCTATATAAAATATCATTCGCCGTATCATTTTTTGATTATTCCACAATCATTCAGGGTTTGAAAGTCCACATGTATTTATTCATATACCGAAAAGCTCTCTCTTAAAAGCATTAATTTACATTTTCTAGCCTCATCCAGAGTTATATCCCAATGATTGTCATTTTGTAACAACCCTTTAGCCTCACAAACTTCTCAAAATTTCTGAAATTTCATGATTATTGAAATTTTTGAGATCTCTGAAAAAGATTGACACATGCATATGATGTAAAAGCGTTCTCAAACAAAAAAAAAAACATTCCATATTACTAACATATACCGTGTATATTAGACCTAAGGCGTTTCCATTTTCTTCCTACTGTGTTCCAAACGTAATACCTCGGTACTTCAACGTACAGAAAAGATTTTGGAAATTCATCACGGTGAGTGTCTTTTTTGAAGGAGATGATCGCTCTTGATAATTATTTTCAGTACTACAAAGACGTTCACAATTTTCTATGTGTACA